TAGGGGGGTTGGGGAGCCGCCACTGTCACGCTCAGCCAGGGCCGATGGGGAGGTTATGGCTCTACCCCATCACACACAGAGCAGGGCCTGTGGGGTGGGGGTTGGGGCGCCACCCTTTATCACCCACAGAGCAGGGCCGATCAGGGGGTTGTGGAGCTCCCCTGTATCAGGCACAGAGCAGGGCTGATCAGGGGGTTGGGGCGCCTTCCCCTATCATGAACAGAGCAGGATGGATAGGGAGGTTGTGGCCCCACCCCCTGTCACATACAGAGCCGCAGGGCGATCAGGGGGTTTGGGTGCTGCCCCCTGTCACGCTGATCCTGGTGCCGGGAGGCCTCGCAGCTCCGCTGATCCCGGTGCCGGGAGGCCTCATGGCTCCGCTGATCCCAGTGCTGGGAGTCATATTACCCTTTTACTATATAGGATAGAGGCCTGGTCCACTGGTGGGGGCCAGCTGGTTTGCCCTGTAGGATGTCCTGGGTCGGGTGGGGGATCCCCTCTGGGGTGCCTGGCCAGTCTGGGTGAGGGACTGAGGGCTGTTTTCAGGCTGGCCAAGCACCCCAGCGATGGAAGCTCCCAGCCTCTCCTTTTTTTCTTTCTTTTTTAATTCTGGGATTTATTTACCTTCTATAATTGAAACTTTGTAGCCTTGAGAGGAGCTCAGAGCCGGCCAGATGGTTGGGAGGGAAGCCTCCTGCTCACTCTAGCTCCGTGGCCATGGCTGGCTGAAAGCAGGTATCTGGGGTTTATTAATCTTCTATAATTGAGACTTTGTTGTTTTGAGTGGAGCTCAGAGCCCGCTCCGGCAGGCGGGAAGCCTGGCTTCCTCCATCATTGGGGCAACCAAGCCTCCTGCTTGCTTCAGCTCTGTGGCTGCCGGCCGCCATCTTGGTTGGGTTAATTTGCATAGAGTCACTCTGATTGGCTGGTGGGCATGGCTTAAAGCATAGCAAAGGTATTGCCAATTTGCATGTTTATCTTTTATTAGTGTAGATGAGCCCAACTTTAATTTTAAAAAACAAGTGTGGGTACACACAAAAGATCAAAAATGCATATAGCAGTTATGTTGACAGAGATTATCTTTGAATGACACAGTTATGAGGAGTTTTTCTTATACTTTTCTATAGTTTTCAATTTTCTATAATGTACACATACTTAGCTTTTAAAAATATATTTTTATTGTGTGTGTGTGTGTTTTATTTTTAGAGAGAGAAGAAGAGGGAATAGAGAGATGGAAACATTGATGAGAAAGAGACATTGGTTGCTACCTTCTGCACCCCCCCGACTAGAGTTCAAGCCCTCAACCCGGGCATGTGCCCTACCTGGGAATCGAGCTGAGGACCTCTTAGTTCATGGGTCAACCACTGAGCCACACCAGGTGGGCCACGTATTATAATGAGTTTTATAATTAGGAAAATTACTTGCTTATCTGTTCCAACCACATTTTGGTGCTAAGGGACTGCACGTGAGGATGTGGTCAGTGGGAGGCAGGGTTCATGAAGGCATATTTCTTTGAGCACATAGATTGCTGAATTGAGTATGAAACAGAGTGGTGGACATGGTCCATTCCAACCTGAGCCCTTGACAGGAATCTGGACCCAATACTCCTTCTGGAATGGGCAAAAGCCCCGCCCAGGCAGGAGACCGTTCCTCGGCTGTTTGTCTAGCCCACCCTTGTCTGCCTGCTCTGAGCAGCTGGTTATAGTTCTTAGGGTCCCTGTCACTTAGGGTCCCCGACATACCCACCTCAGGCCCCTTTGCTTGGACAGACATGGTGGACAAATGTCTCGGACCCTCAGCGCTCTCTCTCTCTCTCCATTGGCTCAGATTTCATTTTTGCTCTCCAACTTGAGGCACCGTAGCTCTGGTTCAAAGCCTCCCAGCCTCCCTGCAGGCAGAGGGCTGCAGCCTCATCTGCTGTCCTGATGAGCCTGGAATGCTGTCTCACACATAGATGCTCAGTAAATATTTACTCCGTGTGGGAATGGTGATCCACAGCACAGTTGGCAGACAGAAAGCAGGTGGGCACTCAGGTCTGGGTAGCCTACAGCATGTGCAAAGGCACGGATGAGGAACAAGGAGCATATTTGTGTCAAACACATTCAGTGCAGTAATTTGAAATGCAACAGGTGGAAAAATGTAGATGTTTAGATACTGGAGCATTTGGAAGGAGACATTCTGAAGATGATGACTTTGGGGTACCGTGTATTAAATAGGATCCTCAGGTTACAAATTCTATATGTTTTCATTTGTGTGGAGTAGAATATAGCTATACACACGTGTGCATACACACACTCACACACGGTATGCTCCTTATTTTGTTTTGTAGCATCCGTTCTTTCTGTTAAAGCCAGTCATTCAAGAGAGTTGCAACAGAGGGCAGAATTGTGCAAGAAATCGAAACACTTTTTTTTTTCTTCTTGCCTGAAAGTCTCCCACAAATACAAATTACAGCAATATACAGATTGAACTATAGAAATCCTCTTCTTTGACCCTCTGGTTTTCAAAATATATAGGTTATTTAAAGCCATGAGAGTTATTTTTTATGTCATTGTTTAAAATACTTGGTAATGTATGTAAATCTTAATAAAAGCAAAGTGCTGATCCCTTGAGAGAGAAACACTAAAATATGGACAATGCACTTAACTCCGGTATCAAGTTCAGTGATGGGGATTCTTTGTGCCTTTTCTAAGTACGATTTAGATTATTTGCTCTTCTTTCCGTTCCAGTGCTGGGATGCAGGCCCCTTGAGGTTACTGTCCCTGACAAATACTGGTTCATGTTCTTCATCGAGAGATTTTTGAAGCTTGTGGGCAAGACCGAAGAAGCAGAAGCATCGTTCTTAAGTGCTGAGGACAGGTTAGTGCAGGTAACGTGGGACAGAATTGGAAATCCTTCAAGCATTATTCCTTTCATTATTTTGTTAGATATCTTTGGATATTGTTCACCTTTGTTCCTTGACAATTTAGTCCAAAAATGGAGAAATCGATTAATTATGTTCACCAATGAGGAAGCAATGATTTTAATCCATGCCCCGAACTGTATATTAATGACAAGAAGCAGTAAATAGATGGGAGTCAATATGGAATGAATGAGTACTAATAGGTGTCATTTTTTGGAAGGAGAAGGAAGGTTCATAAAGCAAAAAGGGAAGCTGAATAATGGATTGAAGTGAACTAATAAAAGGCTGGCTACAGACTTGGTCATACTTCCCATCAAGATGTCAGGGAAGGTTAGTTGATGATCTTGTCTGTATTGATTTACTTCTTCTGAAAGGATGACATTTAACTGCCCTTTAAGAAAATGATAAACTTTCACTGATTTCAGTATAGGTTGTGGACCAAAGATAGTCTAACCCAAGACCAAGCTGACTTTATTTTAAAGCCAACATCTTCAGATTTTCATGAAAGACTGCCTCTAACCCCTTGACACACATCTCTCTAGAAAGAATTCTATCTAAAGCGACTTTTAAGATTCAACATTCCAAGTCCCTTTATGGCAGAGACCATTGTCATCCACCAATATTTGTGTCCTCCATGGCATAGTGCAATCTTTGGGTACTTAGGAAATGTGATAAGTGAATCAGTGACTCAACGTGCATCTGCAAGTACTTTGTGCCCTTAGAAGGCAGCGTGGAGTAGTGAGCAGAGCAGGGGCTGTTTGCAAGCTGACCCAATGGAAAGTTCCGTGGCACTCACTGCTGTGACCTCGGCAAGAATGCTCACCTCTGACTCATCGCCTTTGAGGACTCTCTCTGTCTCTTGGAGCCATTTCCAGGCTTAACTGAGACAGCGCACAAAGCACTTCACACCCCGTGTGGCACACAGTGAGATGGTCCGAACTGGTAGCTGTTTTGTTATTACCGTGTATGGGTTATAAAGTGATTGAGGCCTCGGTTATAAATAATAAGAGAGTTTGATTTAAGCTAGTTGCCCACTTTTTCATCTTTCAGAGTAGACCCCGATGTTTCTCTGGTGTCTTATCATGATTGTGGGATTTTATCCTGTACCAGGTGATATTTTTCCTGCGAGGTGCAGATTTCCATCACTGATGTGCCTGTCTGGAAAGCACGTTGTTCGTTAGGTAATCATTGAGTGTCTGGTGTAGCTTCATTCATTCATTCATTCACTCACTCACTCATTCACTCAGCCCATGTTCCCTGAGGACTTTGCCTGGCCAGCGCACTGTGCCAGGAGTTGGGGGAAGAGCTATGAGCTCACAGGCTTAGCGTCTGCCCTGTGGGTCTCCCAGTCTCGCTGCGAGCCCCTGCCAACATCAAATCAGTGTTGGAGCACGACCTGTGAAAAACATTGGTCATGAAGGGATGAGGCTGGCTTCATGGGAGGCGTGCCAAAGCTTAGACCTTCAAAGAGAACGTCCCACTTCAGTCCATTGTAGTCAAGACTGAATTCATAGCCCAGAGAGCTAAATCTGCTTTTTTTTCCCTACTAGCAATGCTGTAACAACACCTCTGAGAACATTATTGTGGTTTTTCCCTCTTGTGAACAAAACATGGCTTCGAAAATACTTCATACTTTTTAGAAGTCTGTATTATTGTCAGAACATATAGCTCTCAATAAGGGAGCAAAATGTTGGGCCCTTGCAGAGGGACATTCTCAAGATGGTGTGTATCCAGGCAGAACCCGTTACTGACGAGTTGGATTTATGGGGCTTAGGCATGTGCCTGTTATTCCAAGGCTGTATCATTTATTGTTTCTTATTACACTGGCCTCCTCTTAGGACTCGGTTACCACAGTGACATCTCTACTCTCACTCCGTGTCTGACCCGACACTTTGTAAAACAGACCCAGAATTTGGTTTCAATCTATTTTCTTAGATCTCTGGCCCAATAGTGGCCATGCACACACAAATACATTGTATGAAAACCAAGCCCCATGCAGCATGGGTCAGTCATTGATTTATTAAGAAAAAAAACACTCAACCATTGGTTGAGATGAAGAAATGGTATTAAATACTCTGCCTATTGTCTCCTTACTTCTTTTGTGGAAAAGAAAACTTTAAATATCACTTCTTGGCCAAAATTCCTTCCCTGCAGGCAGAGGCCTGAACAACCTGGCCACGACAGCGTCCGAGGAGTACTTTAAAGGAAGCCACAGTTTGGAATGTGCTATGGGAACATCCAGCTCACTGGCCAGCCACCCCTGTGGCCAAGCTGCCATGAAATACACCGAAGGTGTTCTGATGTAAACGTGTCTTTTCTTGACACATGTTGGTTTTCTGTACTAGCTTTTACTGTGAGGATTAATATGCCTAACCCACACTCGTGAATCCATCCCCCACCTCTGATTATTGGGGTAAGAAATGCTGAACCTAAGTATTCCCATCCTCTGGCCCAGTGGTTCTCGACCAGGGACAATCTTGCCCCCCAGGGGACCTTTGTCCATGTCTGCAGACATTTTTGGCTGTCATGAGGTGTGCGTGCGTGCGTGTGTGTGTGTGTGTGTGTGTGTGTGCTATTGGCATCCAGTGGGTAGAGGCCAAGGATGTCACTGAACATGCTACCGTGCACAGGACAGGCCCTACAACAAATTATCCAGCCCCGAATGTCAGTAGTGCTGGGGTTGAGAATAGCGCCCTAGTTTCTTACAAAGACGCACAAACCTCTTATACATCACGTGGAAGGCCTTGAAGCTCTGTGATTATCAACCGCTCTGCTGTCTTGTGTCTTCCTATACAGCATGCAGAGTGTTTCGGAGAATTATTTTTGGTAGCACAACGAATGCAGCCAACGTTGATCGTGCCCAGTAAACAACACACGCGTGTTTTATTTTCAGATTTGCTGCTGGAAACAATTCTCTTGCAAACACAAAATTTCGAGACTGCTTAACTACCAGGAAATGTGTTTGGGGGAGAAAAATATCCTCGTTGGAGAAATTATGGAATTTTTAGCAGATTTACTGATTATCCATTAAGAGAGAGTGAAAGGTACTTAATGAAATGTTTCAAGTAGTGTATCTCCTTCTCCTCCAACCCCCCCCCCCCCCCCATGATGGCAGGGTGGTCTGGGGCCCCCCATCAGGGGTGACTCAGCTCTCTGGCTGCAGCCTCGAAGGGACTCACCGTGTCTGAGAGTTCTGTTCCGACCATAACGTGTTTGCAAGGAGCTCTTAGCTCACAAACGTGCAGAGGTTTCGGCAGTAGGAAAAGTACAAAGGAGTCCAATGTTTCCCTGCCTCACTCACAGTCCTTGTGAGGACAATGTATCCACCCCAGGCCTCAGCCCGTGATCTACGGTACCCACAGCCCGCCGGTCTGTCTTCTGCAGGACCTAGGCCAGAGCCTGCAGGATCTCTGGCCATGCTTTCCTGCGACCTCTCCTGGCTGGGGAAGTCCTCTTGCTCCCTTGCGACATGTGGGGCTTTCCTACGCTCCCCACACAAACATCATTAAAGCTGCTAGAGACAAGATTATTTGTGACCCATGTTACAGAAAGGCGAGGCAGCCATTGTCCAAACCCTTCGTGACAGGTGTGGGGCCACTGTAAAGGGGTTTTGCAGAGGGGGAGAGAAATTGGACTCAACTCTGAATACAAGGAAAAGTGGGGAGGGGGAGAGGAAACATCAGGGTAAACAGGGGGGGACCCTGGCTAAACCGATGAACAGGATTCTTGCTGAAGGCAGGCCAGGCTGCCTGACACGCCCTGGGGCTGGGGGATGAGGAACAGGACTATGTGTGTGACGGGGATCAGATAGTGAGGATGGCTTCGCTGATCCAGCAGAATTCTTTTTTTTTTTTTTAAAAATATATTTTTATTGATTTCAGAGAGGCAGGGAGAGGGAGAGAGAGAGAGAAACATCAATGGAACCCACAACCTGGGTATGTGCCCTGACCAGAAATCAAACCTTGACCTCCTGGTTTATAGGTTGACGTTCAACCACTGACCCACACCAGTTGGGCAACACAGAGGAATTCTTACTCAAAGTGGACAATGCAGAGATGACCATGGAAGTCAAAAGTTGAGGCCTAGTTGAGAAAAAGCTCAGACAAGCCCGAGTAGAGTTTGGTCAGCGGGAGAAACTCCTCGTCAGCATCTGTGCTTATGAGAGGGTGTAGGCATTACCCTCCGGATCTAATCCCTGTTGGCATCTGCTGGGCCTGACCACTTCCCTTTTGACAGGTTGGTATGGGAGAAGGTTCTTTGTGAGTCCACAGAGAGACATACACCCACACCCTGCCTGTGGCCTGGCTTATACCTTTCATAGCGAATTCAGCTGAGCCAATGGCCAGGGATGCTCAAGGGTAAACTGTGAGGTCGTGAAGGCTGGCTATTGTAGCCTCTCTCCCCCCGCTCCCTGCTCCCTAGCTTGCTTTTCAGTTGAGCTGGGATGCTCAAGGGTAAACTGTGAGGTCGTGAAGGCTGGCTATTGTAGCCTCTCCCCCGCTCATCCCCCACTCCCTGCTCCCTAGCTTGCTTTTCAGTTGAGCTTTCCACTTTTCTCGAGATAGTTCTCCTCTCACCAGAAAACTGACCTCTTCCACCTTCTGCTCCCAGGAAGAATGTAATGTTGGTAATCTCTAACACTGACTACTCTTCCTAAGAGTATTGACCTTTAAACAAACAGCCCAAATAAGCATATGTAAGGGTAAAATTACGGGTGCTGTGTCGCAGTAGTGAGCAGTGGGGTCTGATTGCCTGGGTGCAAATGAGCATCATTGAGAACTTGGGCACGCACTGCTTACCATGTGGGTATCTCATCCACTTCCTCGCTGGTGAAACGAGAGTGGTCACAGGATCTTCCTCACAGGCTGCTTGTGAGGACGTAGAGATCCTGCATGGAAAGAGCTCAGCAGAGCGCCTGGCACTCACCGGGAGAGCCCATGACTGAAGTCGGATTGCAGAGCCTCTGAGCCTAGTCACCCTGTCACTACCAGGCCTGCCGGACTTTAGTTCCAGCGCCTAGCCGTGTCATTCTACTGCACGTGTGGAAACCCCAGGACCACAATATCCAATGTGACCCCACTCCTTAGCAGGTCTCCTTTCACCTGTGTGGCCACTGCCTTAGCTCAGACCCGCATCATTCTTCCTCTAGAGCAGCGGTTCTCAACCTTCTGGCCCTTTAAATACAGTTCCTCATGTTGTGACCCAACCATAAAATTATTTTCGTTGCTACTTCATAACTGTAATGTTGCTACTGTTATGAATCGTAATGTAAATATCTGATATGCAGGCTGGTCTTAGGCGACCCTTGTGAAAGG